CCAGAGTTTCTAGTGAGGAAGAAAGCATGGAAAAAGGAAACCTCAATGGATGTTGTAGGAGATAATGACATGACCTACATTTTGTGGTGACTTGGGATTAAGGGACACTGAACTCTTTAACATTGCGTTGCTTGCATGTCAAGCACAACAAATCATACGATCTCCATAAATTCTACATTCATGAATACTAAAAGCATTCTACATGGCAAGTGCAAACATTTTGTAGGATAAATTAGACTCGAGGTCATCAATATCTAGCATCCATCCGTGAGGGCCGAGTCATCCTCCAGCGCGCGGGTTTGGCTTGATAATTAGATTTCATGCAAGGAGAGACTGTGGCATGTTCAACCGCACTTTTGTGTAAATGGGCTTATCGATAAATACTCTAGTGTCTAGGACACCAATACGTGGAGAACATTTCCGTTCACGTGGATGCAATCACCGACGTACTGGCTTCTAGTCCTGGAACTTTAAAAGGACCACATGTACTTTATTAAGTCAGTGTATGGAATGCTAGTGCACACCAAAAACGTGTGTTTGGGTTGGATCAATGGGAGATCTAGCACTAGATTATTGAGGCCTGAGAGTTGGTAGGTTGGAAGCTTGAACAATGGTCATACTTTTCCACCTTGTAACATCCCATATTTTTAATTTGAAATGTTATACACTAGATCATCTTTGCATATCATATTTATTGCATTTTGGTTAATTCTAGAAATTTTTCGCAACTCAAGGACCCTCGGAGAGAGTTGGGGATTTCGTTATTTTCATATTTGAGTTGTCTCAAATTTTGAAAATAGGATCATTTGATTTTATTTATTTTATCTTTAATTATTTCTACTATAAAAATATGAGAGAGGGAATAAAATGACTTTCCCAAAGTAAAGAAATATTGAGGATTTAATAAAAAAATTAAATAAGATTTTATTTGGTTTTATTTGCTATTTTATTTGAATTTAGGAAAAATGCGCGTTTTTCAAAATTACATTTAGGCCCCAAATAAATGTTCATCATGTGCGGCTTGATTTTAGAAGCCGGGGAAAATTTATTTCGGGATTTTTAGAGTCCATTTAGTATTTCTTTCGTTATTTTTTCTGCGCGGAATTATTTAAGAAAACAAAAGTCGGAACCGACCCTGGGCCGTAACCGGCCAGGACTCCGCCTGGCCGGGGCTTTATAAGCCGCCGCCCCGGGGCCCGAGCCAGCCCAACCCGCGCCCCAAACCCTAGCCGCGCCCGATCCGCCTCGCCGCCCCGGGGCCCGAGCCAGCCCAACCCGCGCCCCAAACCCTAGCCGCAACCGATCCGCCTCGCCGCCGCCTCGCCACCGCCCCGCCGCCCGCTGCCCGAGGTAGCCGTCGTCGTCGGCGGTTTTCCTCAGAAAACCGCCTGGTTTTTTAGATCCGTTTTTTAGAACGGTTTTTTTACGGTTTAGTTATTTAGCGAGCGATCGCTCGTTCGTTCGTTTTAACGAACGCGTTCTTCGTTTAGATCCAGTTAACGAACGTTCATTCGTTAAACTGTTCATCGTTTTTTTTTTCTCGGATTTAATCCGTGATTTTTTGATCGCGATTTCTGATCCGATTTTCGTTTTATTTTAACTTTTTGTTCGTTTATCGTAATCAGACGATTCAAGCGCCTGAAGTTTCGTCTCGAAACCCTCTTTCCGTTTAACCAACTTAAAAAAGTTTTTGCTTCTGTAAAAATTTCCTTAGATCCAGAATAGTAAATGAAGCCTGTTTCTTTTGCCGTTTGTCTTTTGTTGCTTCGTTCGATTCGATTCTTTTTGCCAACCGCAGTTCTTAAGTTGAACTTTCTGGTTAAATCTTTTATTTGAGTTTTACCTGTGCATTAGTTGAGTACTTATTGTGCGCTTGTTTGTTTGCGTTAGAGTACCCGGAGTGCGCCGCCTGTTACTTCGAATCGCTAGATTTCCCAGATCATCAGCAAGACAAGTAACACTTTGATCATACCTCCTACTATTCAGTTTTATTGCATTAGATCAATCC